TCCCTTAGTTCTGTACCACATTTTTTGGGTTATTAGTTTTCTTGTTGTTCAGTGTTTGTAGTTCTTTGTGTATTTTAGATACTAATCCTCTATCAGATGTACAGTTGATAAAGATCCTTTCCCACTCTGTAGGCTGCTCATTTCCCCAAATGACAATGTCCTTTGCCATACAGAAGCTTTTCAGCTTCATGAGATCCCTTTTATTATTTCTGGTGCCTGTGTTATTAGTGTCTTGTTCAGAAAGTACTTTCCTTAACCAATTAGTTCAAATCTATTCCCCACTTATTACTTCTGTCAGATTCAGGGTAGCTGGTCTTACATTGAAGTTCTTGAATCATTTGGAGTTGTTTTGTACAGGGTGATAAATATGGATCTACTTGTATTCTGCTACATGCAACCATCCAGTTTGATCAACACCATTTGTTGAAGATGCTGTACTTTTTCTGATGTGTATTTTTGGCTTTTTGTCAAAAAGTCAGTTGTCTATAGGCATGTGGACTTATGCCTGGGTCTTCAGTTCAATTCCATTGATCAACATTTTTGTTTTTATGACAGTACCATGCTGTTTTTATTATTATACTCTATAGTACAACCTGGGATGGTATATACCTCCAGAAGTTCTTTCATTATTCAGGATTGTTTTAACTATCCCGGATTTTTTATGTTTCCATATGAAGTTGAAATCTATTTCTACGAAGAATTTTGTTGGAATGTTGATGGGGATTGCATTGAATATGTAGATTGCTTTCGGTAAGATAGCCATCTTCACAATATTAATCCTGCCAATCCCTGAGCATCTGAGCATGGGAGATCTTTCCATCTTCTGGTGTCCTCTTCAATTTATTTTGTCAATGTCTTAAAGTTTTTATTACACAAGTCTAACTTGCTTAATTAGAGTTATCCCAGGATCTTTTTTAGGCTATTGTGAAAGGTGTTTGATCTCTCTCTCAGTCTGTTTGTCATTTGTATATAGGAAGCCTACTGATTTCTGTATGTTAATTTTGTATCCCAGTACTTTGCTGGAAATGTTTATCAGCTGTAGAAGTTTTCTAGTTGGAGGTTTTAGGATCTTCTTTGTAATGAGAGACTCAATGGTCTATAATACACACACACACACACACACACACACACACACACACATACACATACACATATATCAATTTATTAAGGGGTTCTGTGAGGAAAACAGACTCACTGACACAGGATAAGGTAAATCCAGTTGCAGAGTCCTTGGAAAGCTGGGGACCAATCACATGCTGCTTCACACTACCTGATCTAGTCTTCACCCACAAGAGTGAGACCTCCTTTTCTCCTCCCTTGTAAATGGTCATGTAGGCAGATAAGAAGCACCGCCACTATCAGGCCAGATAGCCCAAAGTCATGGGCGGAGCGAATTCCCACTACACTTTCATGTATAAGATTATATCATCTGCAAATAAAGATACTTTGACTTCTCCTTTTTTATTTGTATTCCCTCTATCTAGTTGTCCTGCTGCTTTAACTAGACTTTAAGTACTATATTGAATAGGTAAGGAGAGAATGAATATCCTTTTCTTGTTCTTGATTTAAGTAGAAGTGATTTGAGTTTCTGTTAGGTTGGTATTGGCTATAGGCTTGCCTTTATTATGTATGTCCTTGTATTCCTAGTCTCTCTAGGACTTTTATCAGGAAGGGATGCTGCATTTTTTTCAAAGGCCTTTTCTGCATCTAATGACATGATCATGTGGTTTCTGTCTTTTAATCTGGTGGATTATGTTTACATATGTTAGACCATCACTTTCTCTGGGATGAATCGAACTTGATCATGGTAGAAAATCTTTTTGATGTATTCTTGGATTTAATTGGGAAGTATTTTATTTAAAATCATTGCATCTATATTCATAAGCGATATTGATCTATAATTTTCTTTTTTGTTGGCTCTTTGTGTGGTTTGGGTATCAGGATAATTGTAGCCTTATAAAAAGAATTAGGAGCCAGGTGGTGGTGGTGCACATCTTTAATCCCAGCACTCAGGAGGCAGAGGCTGGTAGATCTCTGTGAGTTGGAGGCCAGCCTGTTCTCTAGAGAGTTCCACGACAGCTAGGACTACATAGAAAAACCGTGTTTTGAAAAACCAAAACAGAAAAAGAAAAAAGAAAGAAAGAAAAAGAGAATTAGGGAATATTCCTTTCTTCAGTTTCTATTTTGCAAAGTAATTTGAGAAGAGAAGTATTATTGGTGTTAATTCTTCTTTCTTTGACAGTCTGGCAGAATTCTGTGCTGAATCCATCTGGACCTGGCCTTTGTTTGTTTGTTTGTTTGTTTGTTTTAATTAAATTAACTATTTATTTTTTCCAGCCTGATCACAGTTTTCCCTCCCTCCCTCCCTCCCTCCCTCCTCTCCTCCCAGACCCTCTCCCCACACTCTCCGCCCCACCCCCAAACCTTCACTATCCCTTCCATCCACTCCTCCTCCTCCTTGCTCTTCAGAAAAGGGCAGGCTTCCCTTGTATATCAGCCAGCCATGGCTAGCAAGTTGCAGTAAAACTGGGCACCTCCTCTCCTATTAAGGCTAGACAAGGCAACCCCGTAGGAGGAAAGCAGGTAACAGAGTTAAAGACAGCCCCTGCTTCCACTGTTAGGAATCCCCACAAGAAGATCAAGCTACACAACTGTAACATGTGCAAAGGGCCTAGGTCAGTCCCATCCAAGCTCTCTGGTTGGCAGTTTAGTCTCTTTGAGCTCAGGTTAGCTGATTCTGTGGGTTTTCTTGTGGTGTCCTTGGCCCCTCTGGTTCTCACAATTCTTCCTTCCCCTCTTCCACAGGATTCCCCAAGCTCTCTATCTTATGTTTGGCTATGAGTCTGCATCTGTTTCCATCAGTTACTGGATGAAGCCTTGCTGATGACAGTTGGGCTAGGCAGCAATCTGAGTATAGCAGAATATTGTTAAGAATCATGTCATTACTTTTTTTTTTTTTTTTTTTTTTTTTGCCAGTCATGTTTGGTTCTATCTTCGGTCTCTGGACTGTCCAGCCTCTGGGTCCTGGCCCTCCAGGCAGTGTCAGGTGGGCTCCATCTTATGGTATAGAGTCTCAAGCTGGACCAGCCACTGGTTACTCCCATAATTTCTGCACCAGCTTTACCCGAGCACACCTTGTAGCAGGGCAATGTAAGTCAAAAGTTATGTGACTGACTGGGAGACTTTTTGTTTTTAGTTTTTCGAGACAAGGTTTCTCTGTGTAGTTTTGGTGCCTGTCCTGGATCTCGCTCTGCAGACCAGGTTGTCCTTGAACTCACAGAGATCCGCCTGGCTCTGCCTCCTGAGTGCTGGGATTAAAGGCGTGTGCCACCACCGCCTGGCTCTACTTCAATTTTCTTCTATCTATTAAGACTTGATTCATGTCCAAGTATGTCAGTTTTGGAAAAAGTTCCATCAGCTGCTGAGAATATTCTTCTATGTTTGGGTGAAATATTATGTAAATGTCTTCTAGATCCCTTTGATTTATAACATTATTTAGCACCAGCATTTCTGTTTCATTTGTGTCTGGGTGACCTTTTTATTGGCAAGAGTTGGGAATTAAAGTCATCCATTATCACTAAAGGTCAAAATGTGATTTCTAGCTGTAATAGTGTTTATGAACTTGAGTACCCTTGGGTTTGGTGCATTAATGTTTAGAATTACAATGTCTTCTTGATGTTTTCCCCCCTTTAGAGAGTATGTAGTGTCCTTTCCTGTCTCTTCCAGTTAGTTTTGGTTAGAAGTCTATTTTGTGAGGTATTAAAACGGCTATAACTGTTTGCTTTGTTGTGCTAGGATCTAATCATCCAGAATATGATGGTTAAGGAGTTACTTGGTGTCAATATCTGGTCTGGTCTTTATTGGGTAAATGTTTTGTTCTTTGGTTGCTGTCGCCCTCTCTGGATCCTAGGCAAGTGTGGTGACTATGGGTCCCCGTAGAGACTTTCTGAAGGCCGGCTGTGGTGGTGGCACGCCTTTAATCCCAGCACTTGGGAGGCAGAGGCAGGCGGATCTCTGTGAGTTCTAGGCCAGCCTAGGCTACAGAGTGAGTTCCAGGGAAGGCTCTAAAGCTACACAGAAAAACCCTGTCTCAAAAAAAAGTGAGGAGAATTTCTGAGGTCCCTGAGGGACAGAAAAGAATAGAGATGGGCTGAAAGGAAAGGCTGAGAGGGTTTTGGGGAAAGAGCTAAGCTACATCCCCAATATAACTTTAGTAATCAAAATAATGCACCTTTGAATCATGCCAGTTTGACAGTCATCCTTCTGACTGACTGATCATTAAGCCAACACAGTAGAATCTTCCCACCTCATTACTTTACCAAATGTACACAGCCCAGTGAGGCATCCCTGTGTAACTGAGAAACAAAGGAAGTGATAAATAAATGGCTAGGAAATGAAAATATGAAAGGGAATTTTTTTCTCTTATAAAGGCAGTTGTAAACTATATATATATAGGGTTAAAATACACAGTTCTGGTTTTCTCACAGAATTGCAATTGACATCAAAAGTTGTTATTTAAATTAGCTCCACATATATTCATAATCTGGTCTTCGGTAGGGTAATAGGTTTTCTATCCCCCAGTAATAGGTTTCTCCACTGACGCAGTAAGCCAGATCAAGACGAATTGAAAACATATATCAACAGGTTTATTTGAGCAAAGCACCTCCTGGGTGGGTTCTCCAGTCCCAGAGATCCAGGGTAGAGAAGCCACATGAACTAAAGTAGGGAGATTATGTAGCCTGTAGGAGAGGGGTGATGACATGTCCGCCACAAGCTGGGTTTGTCTCCAAGTATGGTCAAAAGCTAGAATGGTTAGCCAGGGCTTGGGCTGCTGGCAGCATCAGAATGCGGAACTGGGCTTTTTGGCACCTTTTCTTTGTTGGAGATTCTCTGAGAGGGTGGGGTTTGGAGAGAGACAGGAATGGAGCTTTCCAGATCTGAACATAAGGAAATAGAGATCTGAACTGTTTTAATTGTTTTTGTTTTCCTTTTGGAACTAGGTTGTTCAGAGGATATTCTACACGGTCAACAGATCTTGGAGTGGAAAAATTACTTCAACAGAGATAAGGAAAAGCAACTTTTTGCAAGTATGCCTCTCATATAAAGATACATACCAATTTAATAATTTTACTTTACTTAAATGTTTTTTTCTTACTCTATTATACAACACTATCACTGTTTCCAGGCTGTAAGCACTTATCAGTTGCCCATGTAGTGCAAAGGGGCTGTTAAAGAAGATAGAATAAGATGGGATTTCTGCCTGCAAGCATGCAATGTGAAACAAAAACAGAAAGGCACATTCTCACCTGAATTGATAGATACGCATAGGAGGTGCAGAGGAAGCCTCAGAAGGATCAGCCTGTGATCCTTATCTTGGAGAATATCAGGAGTTTACCAAGATAAAACATCAATAGAAAGGGGTTTCCAGTAAACAGCAGCAGCACAAGCCAAAGCCAGAGACAGAAAGTGTCCTTGTGTTCAAGACCTTCCGACCAGTGGCTCCTGTGAAAGTGACTAGGTTGGGAAAATGGGCTTACCAAAGAAATGAAAGTATATGGACTTGATCCCTTCAGTAATGACTCTACCTTGCTGCTGCTGGAAATAATAAATCTTATTCAGTTATTTTATCAAACAAAAAAAAAATGATTGACCACTAGTGGGAGCCTTTTACTGAGATAACCTTGATACCCAATTGTTTAAGCTTCTATAAATGTAAAGAAAATAGAATGGTTCACACACTTGGAAATGTGTGTGTGTGTGTGTGTGTGTGTGTGTGTGTATATATATTTTTAAATGGTTCACACTAAATGAAGCTTATACTGATAACAGTACCTTCTTACTATCTTCATCTTCATATGAGACAGACAAGGTATTGGAGACCTAGCAAATTAGCAATCCATAATGGATAGACAAATAATAATTTGTTATTCTAAAACAGCAATTCTCACCCTCAGAATCGCAACCCCCTTAGAAGTTGGACAACCCTTTCATGAGAGTTGCATATCAGATATTTAGATTATGATTCTAACAATAGCAAAATTATAGTTATGAAGTAGCAACAAAAATAATTTTATGGTTGGGAGTCACCACAACATAAAGAACCATATAAAAGGGTTGCAGCATTAGGAAGGTTGAGAACCACTGTTCTAAAGCGAACAGTCAGCATCACAATCATTGTTGATACTTACTGAACATCTGGTATCTACCTGGGCTCTTAGTAGGTATTATGAAATGGGTTAAGAAGGCAGAAATTTCCTTAATGATGCAAAAGTTAGACAGGCGGTGGTGGTGCATGCCTTTAATCCCAGCACCTGGGAGGCAGAGTCAGGTGGATCTCTGTGAGTTCGAGGCCAGCCTGGTCTACAGAGCGAGATCCAGGACAGGTTCCAAAGCTACACAGAGAAACCCTGTCTCAAAAAACGAAAAAAAAAGTTATAACAATATTTCACATCTTACCACCACCCCTCTTTGTTTTGTTTTTTTAGTCTGTTTGTTTTTGTTGTTGTTATTTTTTTATGGGCGGTGGTGTTTTGCCTGCATGTATGTCTGTGTAAGGATGCTGGGTCCCCTGGAACTGGAGTACAGACAGTTGTGAACTGCCATGTGGGTGCTGGGAATTGAACCTGGGTTCTCTGGAAGAACAGCTAATGCTCTTAACCACTGAGCCATTTCTCAAGCCCATCCCTCTGGTTTTTCAAGACATGGTTTCCCTGTGTAGCACTTGCTGTCCTGGAGCTCGCTCTTAATACACCAGGCTGGCCTCAAACTCAGAGATCCGCCTGCCTCCCAAGTGCCAGATTAAAGGCCACCACTGCCCAGCAAATTCTCACATTTTTAATGTGTGAATGGATATGTACTACATGCATGCCTGTTCCCAAGGAGGTCAGAAGAGGGTGTTAGATCCCATGGAACTCATTGTGAGCCACCACATGGGTACTGAGAACTGAACCCAGATCCTCTCTACAAGAGCACCAAGTACTCTTGACCCCTGAGCCATTACTGCAGCCCCTAAATTTTTATTATTGCAATAAATTATTTTATAATTATATAATTTGAGACAAGTATAGTTGAGTAACTTCCATAGAAGCACACAGTTAGTAGGTTGCAAAACTGAGAGTAGAATTCAAATGTTCTCTTTCTACACGGTGACTTATTTTCCCCTCTTCCTTTATTTCCTTACCCATCTCCTTAGTCTTCTTCTGAGTCCATTAATAAATGCTCAAAATAGTCTAGTTTTATGAATATACTTAAGAGTAAAAAATTAAGCAAAAATCAGTTTATCTCTTAACCCAACATTTCATGCACTCCCCATAGAGAGAACTTATACATCTGTATTCTTATTTTAAATTTTATTCATTTATGTTTTTATGTGTATAAGTGTTTTGTCTGCATGTATGTATATGCACCACATGTGTGCTTGGTGCTCTCAGAAGCCAGAAGAGGGTGTCAGGTCCCCTAGGACTGGAATTATAGAGGATTGTGAGCTACTGTGTGGGTGGGAATTGAACCCAGGTCCTCTGGAAGAGCAGCCAGTGCACTTAACCACTGAGCCATGTTTCCAGCCCTTGTAGTCTTATTTTATATATATAGTATATAATTTAGTTTTGTGAGACTCCTAGAGAGAGAGAGATGTTTTAATTAATTAATTTAATTATTTATTGGGGTGGGGTGGCATACAAGTATTGTTGTCAGAAGGACAGCTTGCCAGAATTGATTCTCTCCTCCCACCATGTGGTCTCAGGGATCAAATTCAGGTCATCATACATGGCAACAGGTGCTTTTACCCTCTAAACCATCCCACTGGCCCTACAAGTTCTTTTTTGAAGTGTGAGGGGAGGATACTTACTACTCTATAAATTTGGTTGGGTTTTATTTTCTTGTTTTTTGTTTGTTTGTTTGTTTGTTTCCGAGACAGGGTTTCTCTGTAAAACAGTCCTGGCTGTCCTAGAACTCACTCTGTAGCCCAGGTTGGACTCGAACTCACAGAGATCCACCTACCTACCTCTGCCTCCCAAGTGCTGGGATTAAATTGGTTGGGTTTTCTTTTCACTTAAAAATAGCTTGGGATTCCTTCCATTTCTAGCCATCTATACTACATGATTGATTGCATGGCTATGCTGTAATTAATTATATATTCCTCTATTGAGACTTAGGGCATTTTTATATTCTCTCTTATTAGAATGATGTAGTGAACATCCTTGTACTGTATATATGAATAAGAATTTCTCTAGACTACTAAAGGAAAATTCCTAGATCAAATGGTACTCTGGTACAGCCTATTAACCCTTACAAATCCTATTCATGTTTTCATTACATGTTCACTAACCTAGGGAGCAGAGGAAGACCTGTGTGAGCAAAGTCCTTAGTGGATGTATATTTTGACATGACAGCCTGTGGAGGACTCCAAGACCAGTTAGCCCATGGGAAATGGGCAAAGTTTTGAACCATGTGCGCTAGGCTCAAGAGAAATGCCAAAGCTTTTCTTGAGGCCAAGTATGTGTGTTTATGGATGATTAATCAGTGTGTGCAAAGACCAGCAACTGTGGCTTCCTCCTCCTGTATGTTTACAGGCTGATACTGCTCACCTACAGAGACCTCCTGCTGAGATTAGCTTAAACCCCAACCACCACCCTGTGCTGCCCTACTAAACCTGTGAAATTCCAGGATAATGCCAGAGAGCCCCACCTGATCCCAGCTCCACTGTCTGTGTGCCTGTCTGTCCCTCGGCCCTTTCTTCACTCCCTTGTTGTTAGGGACCCAAGCAAGGCAGGATGGCAGCCAACAACAGGAGTCAATTTACACTTACACCACAGCGTGGTTTTCTTTTGTATTTATGAAGACTATAATTTCATTTCTGCTTACTTCAGAATCTTCCATTAAAAAGATTTATATAACTCAATAATTTTTTTTCAATTTATAAAAGCATTTCCTGGAGGCTGGAGAGATGGCTCAGAGGTTGAGAGCACTGGCTGCTCTTCCAGAGATCCTGAGTTCAATTCCCAGCATCCACATGGTGGCTCACAACCATCTACAATGAGATCTGGTTCCCTCTTCTGGCCTGCAGGCATCCATGCAAGCAGAACACTGTATGCACAGTAAATAAATAATTCTTTAAAAAAATGAAATAAAATCATTTCCTATTGTATACATTAAAAAAATAATTTATCAGAGTAATATATTTATATTGCAAAATAGTCCTCTTTGTCCTTTATGTTTTCTGCCTTGATTTCTGTGTGGTAAGTGTGAGCAGGTAGAAGTCAGAAGTCAGGAATCTGTTCTCTCCTTGCAGTGTGGGCCCTGGTATCATACTTATCAGGCTTAGTAGCAAGCACCCCTACCTGCTGAGCCATCTCACCAGCCCCATTAGACCTATCTCTTATGGGCAGTATACTTATTTATTGGTTTTGAGGGGTTTTTTATATTTGATCAAAAATATTTTAATAAGTAAATTTAGCCCATTTGTATTTATTTCTGACAAAAAAAAAAAAAAAAAAAGCCGGGTAGTGGTGGTGCATGCCTTTAGTCCCAGCACTCAGGAGGCAGGGGAAAGTGGATCTTTGTGAGTTTGATTTTTTTTTTTTTTTTTTTTTTTGAGACCAGTTTGGTCTACACAGTGAGTTCCAGGACATCCAGACATCCAGGGCTACACAGAAAAACCCTGTCTCAAAAAAAAAGAAAAAGAAAAAGAAAGCATACATAAGTTCCTGGTTTGGTACCAAAGCAAAATTTTAATCAATGAACGGTATTTTCTAGACTCTATAATAGCCACGGCTAGTTATGCATCGTTTAAAAATTAATTGTTTTATTCATACCATTTCAGACTCTGGCCCTCTTGGAGGAAGAGGAAGATATAAACCAAATCACAGATTACTTCTCTTATGAACACTTCTATGTCATTTATTGTAAATTCTGGGAACTAGATGGTGATCATGACCTGTACATCAGCCAGGATGATCTATCTCGATACAATGACCAGGGTGAGTGATTCTATAGATGCTAAAACTAAACCTTTTTTCAAAGTTGTATAAATTGTCTCCCCTCGTTATAAGAAATTCCCTTTCTTAAATTCTATTAGTAAGTCTCTTTATATGGCCAATAATTTGTAAATGAGAATGAACAAAGATAAATGTGTTCATTTGTTCACTGTAGGCCAGGCTGGCCTTGAACTCATAGGGAGCTACCTACCTGTGCCCCTCTGGTGCTGGGGTTAAAGGTGTGTACCACCATGCCTAGCCAAAGGTAATTGCTTAAACTTTTAAGAGGCCAGAGAAGGAGTTTGGAGGTGAGTAAGTAACCACAGTTTTAAAAGTAGGAGGTCTTTGCAGTAATTAAGATGATGATCAAATACAAGTGCAAATCTGTTTTAAAACCTCCTCGCTTAATAATATTTCTATTAAAGCTACAAATGAAATTTCTTTTTTTTTTTTCCTTTTCTATGAGTCTCACTATGTTCCCTTGGCTGGTCTGGAACTCACTATGAAAATCAAGCTGCCCTGCCACAGATTTCATTTTCAAGGACTCATAAAAATTTACTTTTGGTGGGGGTGGCTAGAGACATGGCTCAGTGGTTAAGAGCATTTGCTACTCTTACAGAGTATCTGAGTTTGGTTCCCGCACCCACATCGTGCAGCTCATAACCTCCTCTCTCTCTCTGGTTCTTGAGGTTCTCATGACCTCTCTAGTCTCTGAGGGCATGTGCACTCACATGCTTGTACCCACACACAGACAGACCCAGAGACTTAAAATAAACCTTTTTTCAAAGCTTACTTTTTAATTTTAACTCCAGAAAAGTATTTTATCTACAGATGAATTTCATTGTTTTCTTCTGCTAAAAAAGAAAGTTAACATATCACATTTTTAGGCTTAGGTTTTATTTTCCTTTTTATAAAGTTGGAACTTAGTGCCAACTAATTTGTAATTCTTTCCTTTTTTGAAAATTTCAATCATGTGAGTGTGTGTGTGTGTGTGTGTGTGTGTGCGCGCGCGCACACACAGGTCTACTCATGCTACTGCACTCATGTGGAGGTCAGAGAACAACTTAAGAGAGTTAGTTCTCTCTCCACCATGTGGGCTCCAGGGATCAAACTCGGGTCACGTTTAGTGATAAATGCCTTTACACACTCAGCCATCTTGTTGGCCCCTGATATGTAATAATCTTAACTAAGTGCCAAGATATATTGATTCATTCTTCTCTCATAAGATCATCCTTATTCTGTCTTTAAATATCTTCCCAGCAATTTTTAAATCATACTTTTGTCCTTTTAGAGATAGCAGAGAACAAATCTTTAGTGAGCTAAGTTTTGTTTTTCATTTGATAAATCTCTAATGGGATGTGTGACAAGCCCCACTTCATGAATGACTGATTTTTGCAGTGCTGGAGATTGAACCTGGGACATCATATATGCTTGGCAAATACTCTATAATTAAGCTGTGTCTCCACCCTATAAGCTTGTTTTGTCTGGTAATCAAGTTTCATAGAGCTATGCACATTTATGAAACAGGTTTGGTTTGACTTGGTTTTTGAGCTAAGCACAGTGGCCCAGGCCTATAGTTTCAGATACTGAAGAAGCTGGGGCAGGAGGATTTCTGTAGCATAGTATTTGGAAGCCAGCCTGGGAAACATAGACCCTATCTGAACAGGGAGGGTGGAGAAACCAGCAGAGTTCTCTCTCAAATTCTTGGGTGCCAAGCAGGAATCATGGGCAAATCCTCAAATGTACTTCCACCTTCAAGTTTTTGTTTTGCCTTCCGCCTTCAAGTAGTCAATCTGTCATTGGATTAACAAAAATTAATAAATTCATAAGGGTCTCAGGTCAGCCGTAGCTATACACCTTCCTGTTAATCCAGAGATCTTACATAACCCATGGACTCTAAAGCCCCCTCTCCTGGTCTTACTGCCATTATTTCCAGATACTATATGTACTGATTGGATTGATGTTAATGGCATAGTGAAGGGAACATTAAACTCTGCTTTTTTTTTTAAGATCTCGAACTCACAGAGATCCACCTGACTCTGCCTCCCGAGTGCTGGGATTAAAGGCATGTGCCAACACCGCCTGGCAAACTTGGCATTTTTGTCCATTCACCAAATTCTGCTTTAGACCACAGTCTTTAGTTTTAGGATAATAAACCTTCCAAAGTTAAAGCAACCTTTTTTAAAAGACGGTAGGGAGCAGGAGTGCTGGCTCAGCAGTTAAGAGCACTTAACTGCTCTTGCAGAGGAACTGGGCTCCATTCCCACCACCTACATAGCAGCTCACAAATGTCTGTAACTCCAGTGCCAGGGGATTTGATACCCTCTTTTGGCCTCCACAGGCACCAGGCACTCATTGATGCATATACATACATGCAGGCAAAACACTCATACATAGAAAGTAAAAATAAATAAACTGGCTTAAAGATGTTAGCATCAGAATTTAATATTTTTGCTGTTTCTATATACCCTTCTTATTTCTCTCTAGTATAAAATATTTATTCATTAACTCAAAGTTCAGCAAAGTACAGAGACTGTAGAGACTTTTGTATATGCCAGGCATGGCTTATCTTGACATATGTATTTCTAATTTTCCTAGCCAAATTGACTTACATGTTGACTATACCTAACTCTAAAAAGAATAGATGATGGGAGCTGCTAACCCTCTATTGAATTCCTTGGTAGTCCTGAAATTTTACTGTGCATTCCATTGCCTGGGGTGCTTCTTAAAAGAACAGATCTAGAGATCCCTGGGCCTTGCCTTGCCTCTCCTCTCTCCCCTCCCCTCCCTTCTTCTCCTGTCTGTCTCTTCTTTCTTCCTTCCTCCTTCTTCCCTCCTTCTCCTCCTCCTCCTCCTCCTCCTCCTCCTCCTCCTCCTCCTCTTCCTCTCTCTCTCTCTCATTCACTCTCTCGCACCCCCCCTCCTTCTGGCTATTTTGAATCTATAAAGATATACTGGTATACATTTTCTAGGGTATATCATCAAAAACAAACATATTATCTGAAGATATAATTGTTACTGAGGATGTAGTTCAGTGCTAGGTTTCTTGCCTAGCATGTGCAAAGCCCTGGGTTCAGTCCCCCAGTAGAACCAATAACAAGCCATTATGTGTCTGTAAATAAAACTTACTGATGAAATTTCTTTAAAATGTTATATCTTAGACTCTTACAGAATGAGAATATAAGAAAAGTATGTTTATGGTATGTCTTGGTATGTTTTTAAAAGCTGCTTTGAAGCATTCTCCATCATTTTACTTTGTTTCATTTTATATTATTTCAGAAGCTATACAATCAGTTTCCCTTTAATTTAATGCTAGGATAAAATTTGTCTTGTTTTAGAAAATTTGTTTTGTTTTATTGAATAACAAGATCAATACAAATTTTGTGTATTTTTGTCTTAGTTGTCAGGATGTTCAGAATTAACTTAGAACTCAACCATATAAATAACTAAACAGATGTCAGATACATTCATTTACCTTTCTTTTTTTAAAATTAGTGATTGATACTTTAAACCTACCTCATTCTTCTAAAAAGTATAAATTATGCCTAAATAAGAATGTAGGATCTAGGCAGACAAAATTCCTGCACAAATAGGGGTAGGGCCCCCTAGGTCCCACCCTTCACAGAGGAGATTTTGGTGGTTGATCATTAGTGAGGGAGGAAGATTCACTCTCTTGGGTATCTTGCCCATGCCCCCATGGAAGCCCCACACACATGTGCATATGGGAAGCACATGGACTCATGGGTTTAATGACCAAAAACAGAGGCCATGGAATAGGGAGAAAGACAGACTAAGAGAAACTTGGCATAGAGAGGTAACAGTGGATGGATAGGCTCAAAATACATTATATGAATATATAAAATTTTCAATGAATAAACTTTATTTTTTAAAAGAATTGAGGGGTTGGGGATGTGACTGAGTTGATAGAATGTTTGACTAGCATATACAGGCCTGTGTTTGATTTCCAGCACCACATAAACTGTGTACAGTGGTGCACACCTATAACCCCAGCTCTTGGTGGTAGAAGCAGGAAGATCAGAAGTTCAAGGTCATCCTCAGTTATATAGCAAATAGAGTTCACCCTGGGATATATATTAAAAAAAAAAACCTGTCTCACAAAAGGAAAATTTAATGGTTGATATTCTCACTGTGGAAGATGTTTATGGTTTAGCTTTAACTTTAGCAAATGAAAACAAATTTGTCAGGAATTTTTCTAACTAATTCTTATTTACATTTAGCTTCATCAAGTAGAATTATTGAAAGAATATTTTCGGGAGCAGTGACAAGGTATGAAAAGTTTAAAATTTGAATTTTATTTACTGGGCTAGCAATAAGTAATAGAAAAATGAAATAAAACAATTTGAGTTTCAAAATGAATTATACTATTGCTGCAATCTCATTTAGCAGAGCTACTAAGTCAAATTACATCTAAAACATATACAATCATGGCTTAATAAAAGACAGTAATTCCTTAATATTAGTACAATGTCTAAATATAAGTAACAATATCTAATCCCATTGATTATCAGGTTGGAAACCAGGGCCAGACCTAGTGGCATGAGCCTGTAATCTTCAGATAGTAGGCTAAGGTAGGATGTTCACAAACTGAAGCTTTCTTGGGCCATATAGTCAGTTCAAAGTCTGCCTAGGCAATTTAATAAGACCTTGTTTCAAAAAATTAAAAGTAAGCTGGACATGGTGGCACATGCCTTTAATCCCAACACTTTGGAGACATATAAGCAGGTGGATTTCTGTAAGTTCAAGACCAGCCTGGTCTACATACTGAGTTCCAGCCCCTAAAGGCTACATACTGAGACCCTGTCTCACACAAATTAGTTAGTTAACTAAATAATAAATACAAAGTAAAGAGAAGTAAGGATGTAACTCAGTGGTAGAGTACTTGCTTGCCCTGTATTAGGCTTTAAGTTCAAACTCTAGTACCACAAAAGCAGCACGACTGATTTTTTTTTTTCATTTAGGCAAATGTCTTCTAGTTTCACCTTGTAGGCCTCAGAAAATAAGACAGGCCTCAAAGGGGTTACATTTTCTGAACTATCCAGCTTTATGAGGAATCCATCATTTTCTTCTTTATTTAGTAAATTTCTAAAGAGTGATGTTACTTTATTTCTTAATTGCTCAGGAAATTTTATAACCATGTGTTTTCTTCAGAGGGAAAACAGTACAAAAAGAGGGAAGAATGAGTTATGCAGATTTTGTTTGGTTTTTGATTTCTGAGGAAGACAAACGGAACCCTACCAGGTAAGTTTTTGTTGTCAAGATGTAAACACATGCACAAAGCTTGGAAAGAGCATGGTGTATACCTAGTAAACTGACCTGGCCTAGTCATAGCAGGATATGTTGGAGTGTCTCTGTCTTCATAGAGCTCAGTCTAAGAAAGCAGAGGCACAGAACGAACCATGGTCATTGTGCCTCAAGGGAAGAGCTATTACCCACATAAAGGTAAAATGAAGTATACTCTTTCCAGGAGAGAGAAATAGAATTGGTGAGTATTTATACAGAGTGTAGAATAGATTCTGTACATTTTAGTTCTTTCATAATCTGCACTAGTTTTATAGTAAATTGAAGAAGGAAGGAAAAGCAAATCGAGGGACTAAAGAGATGGCTCAGTGTATAAAGCCCTCCCATACAAGCTTGAGGACCAGAGTTCAAATCCCCACCACTTACATAAAAACCAAGAAAGTGTGAGGGCCCCACTTGTAATTCCAGTGCTCAGGAGATAGAGACAATGGATTCTCAGGGCAGGCTGGCTAGCTATACCACCTGAATCAGTGAGACCCAGGTTTACCAAGAGACTCTCCCTCAGTAAATAAACTGGAGAGCACTTGGGAAAGACACCTGGCATCACCTCTGACATACTTGTACAAACATGTACTTTCACCTACATATGCTTGTGAACATAAAAAAAAACCAAAACATTGTGACTAGTATGTAAGATCTCAGCCTCATGCTCCCAGTTGAAATCATCACTCCCTTTCCTTGGCACTCTCAAACATGCCTTGATTTGTGGTGTGAATTTACATATCTTTCTATCCACTACTGTTTCCTGGTTAAGCCAAAGATCTAGGTCTCTCTCAAAAAGGACCTCTTGCCTATAAAATAATGTTCTATACAGTTTCTGCTAAGTACCAAGGAAGGCAGGTGATACATGCCTTGATGCCAATGTGGAGTCTTCATATTGGTTCAAAAGTTATTGAAGGGACTACAGAGATGGTTATACAGGTAAGAGCACTGACTGCTTTTCCAGGTGACTGGGGTTCGATTCCCAGCACCCACATGGCAGCTCACAACTATCTGTAACTCCAGTCCCAAGAGATCCAATGCCCTCTTCTAGCCTCTCGAGCAGAGGTTCTCAACCTGTGTGTTACAGCCCTTTCAGGGGCCCAAAGGGGTCAGATAGCCTGCATATCAGATATTTCCATTATGATTCATAACAGTAGCAAAGTTATAGTTATGAAATGGCAACAAAAATAATGTTATGGCTGGTGGTCCCCATACCATGAGGAACTGTATTAAAGGGCCACAGCATTAGGAAGGTTGAGAACCGCTCCTCTAAAGACACCAGGCATGCATGTGGTACACAGACACAGTTAACTGAAATTTTAAGTATTGAAATATTTAGTATAATGTGAATAAATAACTGAAATAGAAAAATAAGCTAGGTATGATGATACATGTCTTTAATCCCAGCACATGGGAGGCAGAGGTAGTTGCATCTCTGTGAGTTTGAGGCCAGTCTGGTCTACATAGAGAGTTCCAAGCCAGCCAGGGCTACATAGTAAGACTCTGTCTCAAAACAAAAACAAACAGGTAGAGAGCAATAAAAGAAGATACCTGAGGTCAGTCTTTGGCCTTTGCGCGCGCGCACACATACACACACACACACACACACACACACACACACACACACACACAGAAAAAGAGAGATTTATTAGTGGATATGATCATAAAAATGATACATGACCTTCCAAAAATACTAATTGGTTTAAAGGTACAAAAAGAAAAAAGGGGAAAGCGTGAAAAACAATAGGTCATGTAAATAAGAGCAGTAAATATGGTTATGCTGATATAAAGAAAAAATAGACTTTAATAAAATTCTAGAGACAAAGACATGTTTATATGACAAGAAGAACAATCTAACATATTGTAACTATAAAGATATATTCACCTAGCCAGGCAGTGGTGGTACACACCTTTAATGCCAGCACTCAGGAGGCAGAGGTGGGTAGATCTCTAGAGTTCAAGGCCAGCCTGGTCTACAGAGCAAGTTTCAGGCCAGCTGAGACTATACAAAGAAACCCTGTCTCAAAACAAAACAATACAAAAAGATAGATACACCTAAGAGTCCCAAAATGCATATGAAAGAAAAATAAAGTATTGCAGAAGTAAATAAGAATTCACAGTTATTATTGGAGACTTCAATATCCTACCATCAATAATAAATCAACCAACTATGAAGCTCAACAAGGAAATAGAGGTTGTAAATGATACCATAACACTAGCCAAAACTATAGCCTTCTAGATCTAACAGACACCTATACAACACTTCACTCAAAACCAGCTGAAGTGCACATGGAACATTTGCAAGAAGGGTGGGGGTATGGAATAGACAAAAAGATATTCTCAGTAAATACTTGAGAGTGAAATTAGGGATAAGGGATGTAGCTCGGGTTGTAGAATGCTTGCCTAGCACACACACAAAGCTCTGGGTTCTATCACCAGCACTACACAAAACAGGAGTAATGTATGCTTATAATCCCAGGACTCAGGAGGTTACATAGGAAGATCAGAAGTTTAAGGTCATCCTTGGCTATATATCAAGTTTAGACTGTACTATATAAAATCATGTATTTAATTTTTTAAAAGGCACAGAGGATGTCTTCTGGATAAGATGGTGACTTAGAAGACTCGTTTGAGGTCTGGGCGAGGTGGTACACACTTTTAATCCTAGCACTTGGGAGGCAAAAGAAGGAGATCTCTGGGAGGCTCCAGGGCTATACAGAGAGACCCTGTCTCAAAAACTGAAAAAGCTGTATCTGAGTGAGTTAGGAAAACAAAAGGAATAAGAATATTATATCACATGTCAACTACTATTACCATCTCCCTGACTCATTTGTTAATACACACATGAACTCCCATGACCAGGCTTGCTCCCCACTGCCACAGCAGGGAACATGACCAAGCATAGGGATTCAGACCAGTCTTAAGGGCATCTTCAGGGTATCTCCTAGAGAATCTGTATCATTTTGAAAAATACCAAATCATATATAAAGGCAGGCACATCAGAATAACAGATGATTTCTCAATAGACAAAGGGGTTTGGAATAATGTATTTCAAGTTCTGAAAGACCACAGCTGCCAACCCAGACTACTATTCTCAGCACATCTGTCATAATTGATGGCAAATGACCTTCCATGACAAAAGCAGGCTAAAGGAACAACTAAGCCAACGCTACAGAGGACAACAGAAGGAATTCTTCATTTTAAAATAATAAACACACCAGAGAGGCTGGGGGGAGGGGGGATAAATGATGCTAGAAAGTAGATAATGCAAATGAAGATTAGGAAAAGACTAAACCGACAGAATCAACAAATGACAGGAATTAATACACACTTTTTTTTAACCCTTTTAAAAATTTTATTTGTGGGTTTTTTTAATTTTTTTTATACAGGGTCTCACTATGTACCCCAGCTTAGCTCTGGTCTGCTGCAGTTAAAGGTGGGCACAGCCATAGTGGGTCTTATTCTTCACTACAACCTTGTCCCCCAAGACAAGGATTCTCTGTGAAGGCCTGGTTGTCCTCAAACTCGATCTGTAGATGAGGCTAGTCTCAAATTCAGAAATCTGTCTGTTTCCTGAGGGCTGGCTGGCATTAAAGGCATGCACTACCAGGACCAGCTGGATATTTACATAATCTTAAAGTATTATTCTAGAGACAATTATTAATGGCAAAGAAAAATAATAATTTTAGAGAATGAAGATTTGGTAGTTACTATTTTAACAAAAGGGCCAAAGCATTTTTAGTAACAGGAGAAATATATCAAATGTCTCCTGATCAGAAGAAATAATTTCAGGGACATTCCTGGCAGATATATATAACCTGACTCTAATGAGAATGTAATACACACTTTTCTATAATAATTCTGAATATTAATGACCTCGATTTCCCAATCAAAAGACAAAAAATAACAGAATGGATCTAAAACATGATCCATCTATTTGTTGCCTCCGAGAAACATACCTCACTGTCAAAAGGCGATGGTAGTGCACATCCTTAATCCCAGCACTCAGGAAGCAGAGACGGGTGGATTTCTGTGAATTCAAGGCCAGCCTGGTCTACAGAGTGAGTTCCAGGACAGGCAGGACTATACAGAGAAACCCTGTCTCAAAAAAACAAAATAAATAAATAAATACTGTCTTAGGGTAAACAGTTGGGAAAGGGAATTCCAAACAAATGGAACCGGGAAACAAGCAGATATCCCTAATGTAATAGATATCAAACACTAACCAGCCAGAAGAAATAAAGATTAGTAGATCCTGGTTAAAGGAACAATCTATCAAGAAATTACAATCTAAACACATATACACTGAACGCAGGTGCACCCAGTTTCATAAATACTACTAAACGGGCAGAAGCTCAGCACATAAAAATACATGCTTCTCTTGCAGAGAATCTAGTTCCAGCCTCCAGCACCCATGTGGTGGCTCACAACCATTCTTAGTTACAGTTCCAGAGGATCGGATACCCTTCTGGCCTCCAAGGGCACCAAGCACACATTGCTGCACATACATGTGTGCAGGCAAAACACACATAAAATTAAAATCTTTTTAAGATAACAAGGTCTAGAGAAACAGCTTTGTGGTTTAAGAGCAACTCCTTCTCTTCCAGAGGCCTGAGTTCAATCCAACACTTATGTCAGGTGTTCACAATTGCCTATAATTCCAGAGGAGAACCACGTCCCCTTCTGGCCTCTGCCATTATCCAAACACATATGACATACACTCACAAGCCACACACATGCATGTAAAGAATAAATATTTTTAAATACATACATAGATGGAGTTAAATGATATCATACACTAAATGTTTCTAACAAACATTTACAAAACATTCCATCCAACCATTACAGAATATACATTCTTCTCAACAGCTTGTGGTACTTTATCTAAAATAGATTATATATTACTACATAAAGCAAGTCTCAATCAACATAGGAAAATTCAGATAACTTTTTGTATTCTATCTACCCACATGAAATAAAGCTAGAAATCAATAGCAAGAGAAACTATTCAAAAAATGATTTAAATTTGTGGAGATTAAACACTATTGGATGATGAGTGAGTCACTGAAGAAATAAACCAAAAAACTTCCTAGAATGGGATGAAAATGAAAATACAACATAGCAAAACCTATGGGATGTAAAAAGTAATCCCTAGAAAGGACGTTTATGGTTCTAAGGGCCTAAAATTAAAAAAAAAAAAAAAAAAAAAAAACTTAAGACCTTCAAAAGGCAAAAGCAGTAATGGAAATAAACCATCAAAATCAGGACAGAAATTAATGACAAAGATGAAAATACAAAAAATGGATGAAAGAACTGATTCTTTGAAAAGAAAAACAATATTGATTGAGAAAATCAAAACAAAATTAGAGATTTAAAGGCATTACAATCGATAGCATTGAAATTCAGAAAATGATAAAGGTATAGCTTAAAAAACTTAATTTTTTACTCCACTAATTAGGAAAATCTAAAATTTAAGTGTATAGATGCCTATATACAAACTACCTATGTAAAACAAGATATTATAATATAAACATCTATGATAAGCAACAAAATTGAATCAATTACAAAAATGATACTAAAACCCTCAACAAAAAGTAGTCCAGGTCCTGGGGCAGGAGAGATGGCTCAGAGGTTAAGAGCACATACTGCCGAAGACCTGAGTTCAGTTCTCAGCACTCACGTCAGGTATTCCACACCCCCTGTACCTCCAGCTCCAGGGGAGCCAATGCTTCTGTTCTCCATGGACTCCTGCACTTGCATGCACACATCCCCACACAGACACACACACACAGCTGAACACTTAAGTTTTCGAAAATACATACTTAAAATTATCTAAAGAACAAGTCCAGATGGATTCACTGCAGAATTCTACCAGACTTGTAATAAACTAATACCAATCCTCAAATTATTTTACTCCATAAAATGGAAAAAGAAAGTACACTTCCTAACTCTTTTTGTGAAGTCACCACACCCAGCCAAGACCATATATTGTGCCTTTAGAAATGTGAAGAATGCCAGGCAGTGGTGGTGCAAGCCTTCAGTCCCAGCACTTGGGAGGCAGAGGCAAGCAGCCCTTTGTGAATTCAAGGCCAGCCCGGTGTACAGAGCAAGTTCCAGAACAGCCAGGGCTACACAGAGGGGAGAAAAAATCTGAAGGAAGGCAGGGTGTGGTAGAACACACCTTTAGTCTCTCTGATTTCCAGGCCTGTCTGATCTACATGATTGCAGGCTAACCAGGACTACAGTATGAGACCCCCTCAAAAGAAGGTAAAACAAAGATAAAAATCTGAAGGAAAAGCACTACAAGTCAAAATACCAAAGTAGAGGTAGGAAAAGGAACCTTTCCATATCCAAGATCTGAGCCAGGGAGGTGCCATGTCCTTGCTGTCCAGCTACTCCAGCTAGAGCAGAATCACATGAGACCAAGAGTTAGAGGCCACCTTAAATTACATATTAATAATTTGTTTAAAATGAATAAATAAGCCGGACGGTGGTGGTGCACGCCTTTAATCCCAGCACTCAGGAGGCAGAGGCAGGCGGATCTCTGTGAGTTCCAGGAAAGGCGCAAAGCTATACAGGGAAACCCTGTCTCGAAAAACCAAAATAAATAAATAGATAAAAATTTAAAAGGTAAGAAGTACAAGATAAAAAAAAATTACGGGTTGGAGAGATGGTTGGCGAGTGAGATCAAACTCGAATCTCTTGCCATGGAGGAGTGAAGACCCAAGTTTGACCCTCAGAGTTCATGGTTTGTTTGTTTAAAAAAAGCCAGGCATGGCACACATTTGTAATTCCAGTGCTGAGGAAGTGGAGAAAGGTAGATCCCTGGGGCTCACTAGTCAACTAGCATAGCCTGTTTGGCTAGTGAGAGACCCTGTCTCAAAGGTGGAGAAGCGGTTAAGAAGATGCCCAGTGCTGACCTCTGGCCTCCACGTGCACACACAGATATCCAGAAAACTTGCCTGCCATGACGCTCCTTTGTAGGATATGTCTAGATAATGTGCCATGTCAAAGGATGGGGAAATGTGAGATCCAAAAGACACAGTAGGAAAAAGAACTTCAAGAGGAAATTGTGAACCAGGCATAGAGACCAAACAGACCATAGGAAAATAGGTCAGAAGGAACCAAAGAATATTTCAAGAAAATTCCATTGCTGGAAATCCTAATGTGATTGAATGTGGATCCAAACAACTGGTGGAGATTTGAGGGCTGATAGAATAACAAGTACACAGGAAGCAAAGCAGAGTTCAAAGGAATGTACTGTTACTAACTCTGACTAATGAACAAGTTCACTGTGTTAAATGACTGGAAGTGATAAAGACCAAAATCTCTTTGTTATATCAAATCAACACACAATTCTTGAAACAGAAAAATGGAGAAAAAATGTGAGCTTTTGCTCTGAAAATACAAGATAAAAATCAAAAGAATTGGCTTTTTGAAGTGACTGGTTCTGGAATTTAAAAATAAAAGAAGGACTCTTCTGTTGCTTTTTCTTATATTTCTGGTTGTGAGCCTATCCTTTAATGGCTGAGCCATCTCTCCAGTCCCCCTCCATTGTTTTTCAAACAAACCTCTATAACTAGGTATAATTTGTAACAAACATGTAAAGTTACTTAAAAAGAAACATGCAGTAGTACTTGAATAAAGAACTTCTACCAGGTACATGCTAATGAGCATCTTTTACCTCCTAGCATTGAGTATTGGTTCCGCTGCATGGATGTGGATGGAGATGGTATACTTTCCATGTATGAGCTGGAATACTTCTACGAAGAGCAGTGTGAACGAATGGAAGCCATGGGCATTGAGCCTTTGCCATTCCATGATCTGTTGTGCCAGATGCTTGACTTGGTGAAGCCAGCTAGTGATGGTAAGACTGAATGAACAGCACTTTGCACTGTTCATCCTTAAACAAAATGGAACACAGAGTTCTGTATTATCCTGATGTATTTAGCTTTCCAGAGTTGCCTTTACAAGCTTCCCAAGTACAGAAGAATTTAAAGTTTCTCTCTCCTTGACTATAAGTATCAAAGCTACTTTTTAAGAAATAGAACTTTAGCTGGGCAGTGGGGGCGCACACCTTTAATCCCAGTACTCAGGAGGCAGAGGCAGGCCGATCTCTGAGTTCGAGGCCATCTTGGTCTACAGAGCAAGTTCCAGGAAAGCCAGGGCTACATAGTGAAACCCTGTCTCAAAAAAAAAAAAAAAAAAAAAAAAAAAATCCATAAAGAAAGCTCTGTGACTCAGAGCTGTGGAGGTGAGGAGAGATGGGGATGACTTCTTGGTGAAAACAGTTCTTGGCTGGAGGGGGCAGGGAGCATAATGTCATGGTGTCGATGGTTGCACATCATGAGTGTGCTTAAAAGCCACTGCCATGTACAAGTTAAAAAGGACTCACCTTTTTTTTTTTTTTTTTTTCTGAGAGACAGGGTTTCTCTGTGTAGCTTTGCGCCTTTCCTGGAACTCACTTGGTAGACCAGGCTGGCCTTGAACTCACAGAGATCCGCCTGCCTCTGCCTCCCGAGTGCTGGGGTTAAAGGCGTGTGCCACCACCGCCCGGCTGGCTTTTTTTTTTAATGTGATTTATAATTAAGTGAACATACACATATACTGTTCAACAGCAGTGAGGTTTTCTTTTTTGGGTTTTTTTCGTTGTTTGTCAAAAGAGCTGTCAGTGAAATTTACATGGCATATTTGTTTTTCCATAGGCAAAATAACTCTACGAGATCTGAAGAGGTGCAGAATGGCTCATATCTTCTATGACACTTTCTTTAACCTGGAGAAATACTTGGACCATGAACAAAGAGATCCTTTTGCAGTCCAGAAGGTAATGGGATACATTGAAATTGAACTCTCAGAGCTAGAGTACCAAAGGCTGTATGATTCCTATTAAATGGTCTGTGCATGTAGGGATCTCTGTATTCAAATAGATAACATCTAAAATATTTCATCAAATATGAAAAGAGACAATAATGTCGTGAAGCAGAAGGAAGAGGGGGAAGGGATGGAGAGGGAGAGAAAGAGAATATAAACAAATGAGAATCAATATAAAGATCTGAGAGCTGAGAGTAGTGGTGCATGCCATTATGGAGACTGATGGGCATCTGTGAGTTCAAGCCCAGCCTGATCTACCTAGCAAGTTCCAGGACAGCCAGAGCTATATGGAGAGACCCTGTCTCAAAATAAATTCACAAATAAATACTAAGAGCACATTTCACCCACAACCACTGTGCAGGTCAGGTCCGCTCCAGCTCTAAGTCCATGTAATTGCATACACATTAGAAACTAGTTTCAAACTGTAGTTTTGAAAAATACATCAGTAACACGTCTTACAAGATATACTGACCTTGATTTAATTGTGCTATGCACTTCCAAGATAGTGTGGTAAATAGCTTTACCCTCCTAAGTGACACCAGAACTTCTCCAAAATAGACAACTTCAGATAATTTAACACCTTTTCAAGTACTGATGATTCCTGTGTGTGGCTATCAATTTTAAATGTTGTTGTGCATGAGAATAGAGACAAACTCCTTTGCCATGGGCAAACATGTTAGACCATCAGTAAACTTTGAGTGAAAGGAGAGCACAGACTGCAGAAAGTTGTCCTCCAATCCATACATGCACCGTCTCACACACACACACACACACACACACACACACACACACACACACACACACACACAATAGGTTTGTTTGGTTTTTTTGTTGTTTTGTCTGTTTTTTTAAGAATCATAGAGCTAGAGAGATGGCTCAGAGGTTAAGAGCACTTGCTGTTCTTGCAGACAACCCAGGTTTAGTTCCCAGCACCCACATGGTGACTCACAACTGTCTTAACTCCAGTTTCAGAGGCTCCAGCATCCCTTCTGACCTCTGCAGACACTGCATACACATGGTGCACATATGTACATGCAGGCAAAACACTTATAAAATAAAATTATTTGTTTTAAAGAAAGAATCATTACCAAAATAATGTAGGCTGCTTAGCGCACCTAATGTTGTGATTCCAGGTGTAGATCACTGTGGAAATGTTGTCTTAGGCCCTCTTTTAATATGTTAGAATACTTTCAGATAGGTTTTTCGGCAACATACATTTATGATGCCCTACCTCCAATTTTTGTCTTTATTCTAACTTCCTCCTTTCAATCAGGATGTTGAAAATGATGGCCCTGAGCCTTCTGACTGGGACAGATTTGCAGCTGATGAGTATGAGGCTCTTGTCACAGAAGAATCTGCCCAGGTGCAGCTCCAGGAAGGGTGAGTGCATCCCCGTGACTGTCATCGGACATTAGCAGGGCTGTCCGTGTCAGAACACTAAAACTGCCTCTCAAAATCCTTCTCTAGCTTTTCCACTTTTGACTAACATGAAAGAAATGTCTGCTTTGGCTATCTTAACTTGGATGAACACACTCCTCTCTTGCATTCCTCACTGATTCCCTGATATTCTCATGTCTCATTTCCTTTAATAAGTCATACCTTTCACAGAATGCAAGATCACTGAGCACCACAACTCTGTAATAGTCAGTCAGCCAGGTTTAAGACGGGGCTACAGAACTGAACCTCCCCTAAATAACTGGACTGTGTGTTAAATGAACCTTTACTGGGAATAATCAAAGGAAAATTCCATCATGGATCATGTTAAGAAAGCAAGCTGTCCAAAAATCTTACTATTTGGGACATTCCATCAATTGTATCATTTACTAGCTTTCCCATTATTTTCTGTGACTTTAGAAATTTTTTCTAATTTTTTCCTTAGTCTTTGTTGGTAATATAGACGTGCTGTACTATATCTAATGTATGTGAGTTATGGAGCTCTCAACTAAGGTCTGCATATCTGCAGGGAAAATGCCATCTTCTAAGCCCTAATGACTCACATTTTTATAGTTTTGTAATATTCCACTGTATAGCTGGACCATTACTCTACACTCTTCTATTGATAATTATATTTTTAACATTCCACTGTTACGGATTATGGTGTTTGACAAATCATCCAATATACGTCATTTAATTGTAATCGAATTTCTAAATGGTCTTATTAAATAAAAAACACGGAGCCAAATATAGGGGTGAAAGCCTTAGAGATCAAGGAAATAGGGAAAGCCACAGCTAACCTTACATCATCAACTTGGCAGCTTCCAAATACGAGTTACGTCCTGTCTACCCACGCCTTTATTGCCTTGCTGTTCTGCCATCTCATTGGCTATCTTAGCCCAGCTACCTCACTTCCTCTTCCTACACAGCTCTGTCACTTTCTATCTGTCTGTACAGACTTCCAGGTCACTATGGTTGGTACTGGGATTAAAGGCATGTGTCACCATTTGCTTGGCTCTGTTCCCTAGTGTGGCCTTGAATACACAGAGACCTTGCCTGCTAAGTGATAGCATTAAGGTCATGTGTTACCACTGCCTGATTTATATGTTTACTTAAAATGGCTTGCTATTTCCTCTGACCTCCAGGCAAACTTTATTTATTAAAGCACAAATAAAATATCACATTTCAGCACAAATAAAATATTACCACGTTTAATTTATAAGATGAATTCCTAGAACACAGCACGCAAATAAGCATATCCAAACTGTAGTTGTAAAGAGTCTACGAAGACATAAAAGGGTTTTATAGAAACCAAGCAATGATGGATGCAGACCCTCACATTGAGCAGCAGTGCGGAAGCATTTCCATGTCTTGGCCTAAAGGGACAGGACATGGAACACCAGTGCCAAAAGAAGTAGCTGTGTGAAGAGGGCCCTGGCAGGATTTAGAATGCAATCCTCGGCAACTCACCTGAAAGCAAGCTCCTAGAAGCACACATCCAACCCTCTTCGTATCCTCAGCAGCCTGGCGGTGACACCTCTTGACCCCAGAAGACCAGGGAGTTCCCTGATGTGGTCCATCAGGTCAGCCTCCTGGAGCAGAGAGAGAAGGAAGGCTAAACAGGAAATATCCAGCTTAATAGGTGACGTGAAATAGTCCTCCAGAGTTGTACCATTTCCTACCTTTCCATGAGTTCCTTTTTTGGCGGGTAGGGGGAGGAGAAGAGATTGACCTTGAACTTGATCCTCCCTGAACCACTCCAGTACGGGGATTATGGCCCGGCATCACTATACTTAGCCCATGGTGTCTTCATTATCTTTTTTTAAGGTGTCGAATATACCATCACCAATCCCCCTTTTTAAATGTGTAGATTATTTTTCTTTCTTTAGTCATAAAACTAAGGTTTCATATATAAAGTTCTTTTGTAATAAAAGATGGCCCAAGTGGGCAGGATCAGAAGCCAAATATATCCAGGGAATACTAATAATAACTGATGACAGTTGTGCCTTATGCATTTACTAGGATGCAACAATAATTAAAGGTCTGATTTGCCTCTTTTGTAGGGCAGTTTTGTTTACTTGTTTTTCCCCTTTTTAAAATTACAAGTCACAACAGGGCGGTGGTGGCGCACACCTTTAAATCCCAGCGCTCACGAGGCAAGAGGCAGGCAGATCTCTGTGAGTTCGAGGCCAGCCTGGGCTACAGAGTGAGTTCCAGGAAAGGCGCAAAGCTACACAGAGAAACCCTCTCTCAAAAAACAAACAAACAAAAAATTACAAGTCACAGGGACTGAAGTGATGGCTCAGCTGTTAAAAGCACTAGCTGCTCTTACAGAGGACCTGAGCTACATCCCCAGCACCAACATGGTTGCTCACCACTGTGTGTAACTTGTTTCAAGGGATCCAACACCCTCTTCTGGCCTCCCAAGGACCCTGAACACACATAGCACACAGACAAACACACACAAAATAATAAAATAAAAATTTTAATTAATTAAAAAATACAAGTCACAAGATGGGGTTGGGGGAGATAAGCTTTGCCTCCAATTGCCTTACAGCAATAGAAGAAAATAACAATAAGAATTCAATCAATTTAAATATTAAAAAATAAGCCTAAACAACTAGAATACTGGTTCTCAACCTGTGAGTCGTGACCCCTTTGCAAGATTCAATGACCTTTTTACAAGGGTCTCCTACGACATCAGAAAACACAGATATTTACATTATGATTCATAACAATAGTAAAATTACAGTTATTAAATAACAATGAAAATAATTTTATGGTTGGGGGTCACCACAACATGAACTACCTTCCATTAAAGGGCTGCAGCATTAGGAAAGTTGAGAACCACTGAACCAGAAAGAGAAAAAGAGAATACAATCTGCTGGGAAATATACTGTAAGGAAAATAAAGAGAGAAAATTTTGGCCAGGCCGTGGTGGCACATGCCTTTAATTCCAGCACTCAAGAGGCAGAGGCAGGTGGATCTCTGTGAGTTCGAGGCCAGCCTGGGCTACAGAGTGAGTTCCAGGAAAGGCGCAAAGCTACACAGAGGAAACCCTGCCTCGAAAAACCAAAAAAAGAGAGGGGGGCGGGAATTTTTGTGTGGCAGTAACAATTGAAACACAGAGGAAAATGCATGTGTAAGTTTAATTAGGAAGTCTCAGCAGACACCCTAAAAAGCTACTGAGTCAAACTAGAGGGAGAGTTAGATATTAATTAAAATAAATACCTAGAACAGTGAAGCCAAATCAAAATATTTTAGTCAGTCACAAAGCATGCACACAAAAGCACAGACCATATAGCAGAAACTAATGGTGACATAAACAAGGCAAATGTTTTTTAGATCAATGAGTGTAAAATGGGTAAAGTTTCTCTTTTGGGGGGGGTGGGGGGTAAAGTTTCTTATTAAAATGATTGTTATGGAATAATGATTACCACCACGAAACAACAGTATTTTAGTAATAATTTAAAGACTTTTTTTAAAAGCTGTCTTTATATTATTAGACTTAAGAGGCAAAAAGAAAAAAAGGTGGGGATTGTAACCTATTATTTATAGACATATAAATAGTAAAGTAAAATAGTTCCTGATAAAAATCTTTGTGGGTTTTGTCCATAAAGCATTCACAGAATACATATTAGGACACAAAGCATCCAAAATATAGTAATACAAACTACCTTCTGATTAAAAGAAGGTGGACTGGCTGCATGCTGCAATTTTCAGCTCCCACACCATGTAAATAAGAGTTACAGATGGTGGTGGCTCATGCCTGTGACCTCAGCATCCAAGAGACCAATCAGCTACATCATGAGTTGGAGACAGCCTGAGATATATAGCAAGACTCTGGCAATAGAGGATGATAATTTAAAAAAAAAATCAGAGAAGCACCTTAAGGAAGAAAAGCTCTAGGTGAGGCCAGGATCAGAGCAAAGGAGCCAGCAGCTGAGACTCTTTGTGACAGAATACAAGGGGGTAATTGTTAACAGATGGTCGGAGCAGCACTTAATGATCCCTACCTGAATTTGACTAAAACCTAGAACAAGACAGACACCAGAAGCAGCATTCACATAGATCCAACTCTATACATCCCATCCTGTCCCTAAAAGAGACAAAAGCAAAGAATATGGGAACTTAGAAAAGAAAGTAGCCACTGAAAAGACACTTAGCAGCAGAGCAGACCAGACCATCTTCCCAACCCTTTTTGATGGAAACTCCAGCGATCCCACTCCCCATTCCTAAGCAACCAGTAGGATGGGGGCAGCAGTCTGCTCCCAGCTACAAAGACAAGTGAACAAATACCAGACAGTTGAGAAATACCAAAAAAATATAAATGTGAGGACTCACTATTGGAAGAAGTCAATACAGAAATCAGAACAGGAAATCAAAATGAGTGCTCATAGGAATGAAAAAATGTACTCTGAAAGACTACAGCTAGTGTTTTAGAAATGGGGAAATTTGTTTTGTTCTACTGTGGGGGTGGGACATAATTGTAAGGGTCCATATACTGTGGTGCATATCTGGAAATCCAAAGTCAACTTTCAGACATAGATTCCTGCCACTTGTGGGCTCCGGGAGTCAAATGCAAGTAGACAAGCTTGCAATAGGCTCTTTTACCAGAGCCATTTCACAGACCCAGGAAAAAATGTTCTTAGTGAGAACTGCAGCATGATACTGAGTGGAATGGACACAGTTGAAAACATTGTTATTTTTATTCAAATGCTGGGGTTTGAAAACACCTCTAGAAAACAACAGGAATATTTTCTAGAATTTTAGCTATTGAAGCAAATTTTAAAAATGCATGAGAGCAGGACACTTTTTTCCTACCCCTGTTACAAATATTTCGGATCTTATGGGTCCTGTTTCAAGTGTGCAATAGATGGAGATAATATATAAGCAAATGTTCGTCACTGTATTCCAACAGAACTTTAAAAATAAGCCCAAAGGCA